CGAAACGTTTGAGAATGTACCAAGTCCACTGTCTGATGGTGGAAATCATGACAACTACTATGGCAGACGAGTTCGGACTAGGTTTGTTCTACTAAGTCGCCCTGACAACAAGACCAAGTTGTGACAACTAGGTCAACCCACTTCTATTACAATATAAATTTATTACGGGATTTATCAAAACTTCAGCTTTCATCTCTCTAGGCCACTTAAACTAGCCTTTACACCATCTTCTGGATTCTTTGATAAATCTCGTACAACACCTTTTTAAGATACACGGTCTTAACAGCATTTGCACAAATCTTATATAAATGCTTACTTGTCATCTAGATGGGTTTAAAAAAATCTAAATTCTTGTTCTATACCACCATGAAAGTCCTTAAAAAGTAAATCTCAGCATTAATTTATGGGGCCTCTTTCCTTCTTATTATTGAAGAGTCTGTTTACGAAGGGGAGAGGCTTCAACTGATCTATAGTAATCAAGTAAAGTAGGTACTCTACTATTCCAATTATAGACTAATATAAAATTACCTTTAGATCTTAAATAAGAACTCAAGTCACCCTATGTTTTATATGGTGATGTAAGGACTTCTAACCGTTGGGCTTACTTCCATTTCGAGTGAAAGTGTTTGGTGAAGTGACTCGAATGTCGAAGATGGCGGAATCCTCTTGACCGGCTGTCGATCGGCTCTACTGGACCATTATTGCTGATGCTGCTTCCGAGGTAATCTCATTCGATTTAGGTGAAAACGTGCTAAGCTTTTATACGTCGTTCATCGCGGCTCAATACTCTTTCTATCTTTAAGTAAATAAATTAAGCGCAAGTAGTTGTTACTTAACTTCTTGCCGATACTCCTTACATTTCGATGGCTTCTCTAAGTTTAAGTTTAGCCTCAGACATGCCATACACAGAAAATTTAGAAGCTTGAGACCATTCACTCTTATGTTCAGCAAGCTCTGATTTTTAAACCCAACAGCTTCTGCAGGCGCTTTTGTGCTCAGCCACCCTTTGTTTTGACTCCTACACTTAATGACTCAGGCCAGGTTGAATTTTTAACTAACTTAGGTGGGAGAGGTTTGAGGAAAAAGGTCCTTGTTATGGATTCACAGAGGGGATAAGAACCATTCATAAGCAACTCGTATAACAATAGTTGGGATCCGGGTAGTGGTAAACTCAAATCCTATTTATTTTAATGGATTACCATGTTAAAACCAAAGTGTAGCAATTCTGAGGAAGCCTTTATTGCCTATTTGTTTTCTAGATTGATAATAGAGTCATATTTAGGCGAAATCTTTTTAGTCGAGAGGCAAGACCTTAAGGAAGAGAGAAAAGCTCTCTCGATGACACAACTATATGGTCATCTGCTGCGAACAATCATTAAAGTGCTTCTATGGCAATAAACACAAGAATAACAGACGTGAAAGAAACTAACAATTTCTTATGAATGGAAAATAAAAATATTGCAAGCGCTCTTCAATTCACCTATACCACCGCCGGAGATCGGCGTCAGGCTGCTGTGGGCAGAGTGAGATCTGGTGTGCAATGGTTGCTGATGTGTAAACCCAAAAGCGCCACTGGAACCATGACTATTTACTATCGTGGGTAGCACCAGGTTACAAGGCAGAGATCCGGACCGTGAAAGATGAGAATATACGAATGCAGAAAGGCTCGGGTAGACGGACTCATTGGCGAAGCCACGCAGATGCACGCCGCCAGAAGGTACAGTTTCAATCAGGAAATGGCGAACCAATTCACTTTGAGGGTCATCTGAAGTCAATAGCAAGAGGAATACGTCAAATAAGGAATGGAATGAAGATATTATAAACTTCTATTGTATGGAACCAGAAAGAAAGTCAAGCTAAAAATGCTGGTGACATGGATCAGAAAAGGGAAAACTGAAAAAGAAAAGAGGAATATAACATAGGAAAGGAATGCAACTTTTTATTTTTTGGTTCTTTATCGCAATTACTAGTCATAGTTAAAATTCCCGAATATCCATGACCGTTCCATAAAATAAGGCAAATCTAGCAAGTAAACCTCGATAAAACAATTCCAAATCGAGACAACCAAATAAAACGTTAAGGTGTAAGAATTAAGCAGAGTTATAAAGAAATTTAATAAAAATGGATTTAAGTAACCTTCATAGTTTTGCTAATAACGAATAAGTAATGCTTTTGATTTTAGGGTTTGAGTAGCTAGGAGCTAGATTGCTCACTCTCATATCCCATTCTGTGATGTGGGAAAATTTCTGGCCTTCTTTGAAATTAAGGTCTGCCGTCTGACCCACGGGGACTCGTAGCAATGTGGCCTAGTGGTTAACGTGTTGAGAATACATGCTGCATTCTCATGGTTCGACTTCCGCTGAAGGTGTTAATAAGGTCTAGGCGAAGTCGAAACTACAGTCCACTCCGGCCAGGATGAGAACACTTTTTGGGAAAGCAAGGCTACATGAAATTCAATGTGAACGTCAGCCCTACTCGTATCATTGTGGGAAAATTCAACTACTAGTCCTTCATCACCGTGAACGAAATATAGTGAACATAACTCATATATCTATAAGGATACTAGACATACATAGCCATCTATGAGTAAAGTGTCTTGCCAAGAGAAGAAAAATCGCCAGAGAAAATAAAATTTAAGAAAATACGTAGTGTGGATAAATAGATATAATGGGCAGACGAGCGGATGAATAGATAGATATGCCTGATAGATAGGCATATATATATAGGGAAATGAAGCAAACGTGAATATACCTGTTCTTGTTTGAATTCCGGAAATGGGATAAGCCACCTTGAGAGCCAGACCATAGCTATTGATGAAGGATGTGCTGTTGCGAATTACAAAACTTCCAGGCTCTCTGTCACGCAGCATTGCAATAGCTGAATTTATAGAAGCGGAAAATTTTGTAAACTTAAAATAGCCTTTAAGTTCATTAAAATTGTGGCAATCCTAAATTTAATCAAGATATAAAATGGATGCGTTATTTGATCAAAAATCGCTAATGCCTGTCCATTATGAGTCCAAGGGCCATGAGATGCTTTTTAATCTCAATTATAGTTGGCTTTGTCTTCACACCAACCAGGCGTCCGGGAATGTGTACTCGAGCACGGACGTCAATCCCTCTTTTATTGGGTCCCGGTTAGCTCTGAGATCAGCCGTATATGAATAGGTCAAAAACGATTTAAGTGTTGGGCCTTTGATACAATACAAAATCATTAGGAAGGATACACTTTAAAATTATAAATGAATCGTCAATTTGGTTCTCTTAAAAGAATGTCATAGCTATGAGTTGGTCATATTGTCTGGGCTAAAAGCTACGTGATAAATGTGTTATGCATTCGAAAAGAGAAGAACTCAGGTAGCGGTTTTATTGGATGTGACTTATATTTGAGTAGTCGAGAAAGCTATATATGGAATGTCCACATACCGCTATCATAGAAACTTTAGAATTTGAAAAATATGATTATTATAATTAACTATACTGGGAAATAATATAATGCACTATTCAAATTTAATGTCAGCCAATAAATGCTGTAATAAAATGTGTTAGGCCCTCCTGAAAGCACAACAAAAATAGATATCTATTCATTGGATTTACCCTCTTCTCGGGAGATATTAGGCAAGTACCAGTAACGAGAAGTGTCCTGCGTTAAACGCAAATTGATCTCCCCGTCAACGGCGTCAGAGCCAGAGTGCATCATGCTGATCGAACCTATAGGCGAGCTGGGCGGTTGATAGATTGAATTCATGGCAGATCCGGCTGAAGTTAGGAATAGGTCGGTCGCGTGAATAAATATATAGAAAAAATTAATTTAGACAGTATATAGTTTAAAAGTTGCATATCTCTTATCGACGCCAAATGAAATTCATTCAAAGAGGTGACTTAATGTTCCCTTAGACCTGAAACCAGAAGCTATTGAAGTAACCAAACTATACGCGATATATGGCAAATACAGCGATCGACAAGATTAGAAGCAGGGTCAATTGCTAATTCATTGTTATTCTAGTTGCTTTTTTAGTAATCTTAGCAAATTTGGTCGATTGTATAAACCCGGATAACCGCAGAGAAATTGGAGACCAAACCATAATTCACAGAGAAATCACATGTTCCCATGTTAAGTTTTATATTATAGTGGGGACTAGCATGTGTCTGGCGAGCAAGCCCATCCGAAGTGTTACGTGTGCAATTGAAAACTAATCAGGGAACAAAATAGATAAAGAATGAAGCATGGATATGTAGCCCATACTATGATGAGGCCTTGGGAGACATGACTCAACACGCCTGGTGCTACTGTTGAGAGAGAATTTCGAACTCAGATAGTCTTTTTTTTATTAAAGTGTTCCGTCCATCTCAAAAGACGTAATGTCAACATCTGGTTGTTACCAAACCGAAAAGCAGCCGAGCCTCAGCAGTTATTGGAAATTAGTTGATATTTTATGCCATCAAGGCCACTCCAATAATCAAACTGTCTTGGTATCCCCTAATAATCGTATTTGTGCATAAGTTATATTCCCTTATAATCGTATGGCTATATTTAAGGCATAAGATTGGAATGTGGTCTATAACCGTCAGAAGTGGCTTAGCAACAAATTGGACATTTTATAGATTGATTCTATTCCAAGTTGACGTCCAAGATGCAAATCAGTCCAAACACTTACGCCCTACATGCAATATCATTCGATCAGCGCTTTTGTTCTCTCTAAAAGACAATGCATAAATAGGCAAAACGTAAAGCTATTATCGTTTTCGAGGGTGGACAAATAATCCTTTGCCAGCAAGGTGATGACTCTCTTTCGAGACGGTGGTTATTTCCGCCTTCTGATGGTAAACAATATTTAAAGTATTGCTTGGGCTAACACTTTCTTAATTAAGCTATGCCAACAGAGACATTATTGTCTGTAAATGACGTCTCATGACCGCCTTAGCCCAAGTGGAACAAGAGAAATGTTTTGTAGTGAAATGAGAACTGAAATAACTCCGAAGCAGGACTTTGCCTTCAAGTCATGCAAGCAAATCCGCATTCCAATAAATGTATCCCGAAAAACGACCCCATTTATAATTCTCATTTTCTTAGTTATTGCCCATTGCCTTATCTGCGTCCTTATAGATGACATGAAAATCTCACTTGTATTGAATAATTAGTTAGCGCTGTTGCAAATTCGCAAAGTATTTCACGAATTCCTGCTGCCAAATTTGCCAGCATTCTTCCTTGCATTTTTAAGTCTAGCAGTAGTGAGTTGATGTACAAGTGAAGACAGGCTAGAGTAGCAAATCGAAATAGACCTTGAGCTTATAAAATAACGCTTTTATGGGTAGAAGATAATGATTAGTATGGCATGAAGATTACCAAGTTATCGGGTCTGGAGAAACCATAATTGGAAGAATCGTGAATAAGATATATTCATTATTTCTTTCATCTTCATTTATTATTAGACTTCATTCCTGGGCAGTTTGAAATGCTAATCGAACCCTCCGGTACTAGTTATTAGGAGAGTCAAACCCACGAGATTTACGAGAAAAAAAGTAGCATACCCTTCTGGACAGTGCGCCAAGTTGATGCCTCTTGCCTCCTTATATTCATCTGTCGTGTATTGCCTCCTGTCAAATCAAAGTTGGAGCGATGTGTCGTGCTGAAATTCAAAAAGTGGCGTGAGCACAAAATTAGCACTTTGACATGGAAGGGATATATTTTCCCTAAATATGAATAAAAGTTGGGTTTCAAAGGATCTCTTGGTGATTCATTGTGACTCGACTGTTTATTTTGAAGGAAAAGTTTATTGGAACAAATTCGTGAATTGGTCGTACTGAAATCCAAATGAAGATTGCATTCGAATGTAAGCTGTTAAACTGTGCGAGGAAATCCTCGACTCACCAGCCCCTAAATCCGATGAGCCGGTGCTAAGCTTTCGACTGTAATGTAACAGACAGCGTCAGAAAGAAAGACCAAACTTAACTAAAAATTGCATCATTACACTAAACTAAGCGAACAGGTGACCGGCTGCAAATATATTCATTTTTCTTACTCAAGTCTGCGACCTTAATCAGGCATCCCATGATTTGGTTGGTTACTTCAAATGGACCCAAATGCTTTTAAATAGATGCAGTTGATTATTGAAAAGAAAGGCTCACGGTGAAAGCAGAATCCTTAAATTTTAAAAACAGCGTATGATTCTAGTTTGGCGGTAATGTGTATTGTACGTATGCAATGTTCAGATACTGTAAAGTGTAACCCCTAGACTCAAGGTTATCACAGACTTATCCTCGTGCTCAGTGGTTCTTCATTCTCATCGTCTCTCTTTCTCTCTATTTAAGCCTATCCAATATTCAAAAATAGTTTGCACTCAATTTCAGACTCTAGTTCCGCTTATTCTAAATGTTGGCTGATTAGTTTATTTCTACAGACTCCTTCATCCTACACTTGGATCTGAAGTCCCCGTAACCTGAAAGACGCTGCATTTTGGAACATTCTATTCTGTGTCCTGTATTGGCTAGTTCAGATTATTTTACCCATAGACCTTCACAAGTGGATTTGTGCTGTCATAATCTCTTCTGGTCATGTCGGCAGGTCTCCCCTACACAGCCGTTACCTCATGAGCACAAAAGCTTGTAACGCCTTGAGCTAGAAAGCGATACCATCATTTATCAAATATAAAGTAAATTTCCATATAAGGTACGATATTTGGTACCATGGAAAATAGAGATAGGATATACCGTGAACCATGATGCCAAGAGCAACACAAGTAAGAACAGATATGCATTAATGTCATTAAAACATTTTGGCCAGAGGCATTTAGTTTAGAACTTAACTAAAAAGCAAAAATGCTAAGGGCAAATAGCATAAATGCATTCAGTGGAAATAACATCTTAATTTGACAAGATTAAAAATAAAATTTATCTTTTGCACAAAATAATTCCTTATTTAAAGTCTCGATCGAAGACAGAACTAAAAGTAAATGAATTATTAAATTTTTCTTACGAATGTTATAAGGACACATTTTTTTGGCTTTACAGACCAGATAAATAAATTATCATGAAAGCAATTAACAAATGTAGTGCGATAGATCAAGACAAAATTGTGCACAATTTAAGGACAAATTTGGAGCAGCCTCGAGGGTGCTCACTAACTATTTCAGTTGTAAAGTTTTTCGGGACTAAAGCTAGACTT